AACATTAATCCCGTCATTGTTCATAAGAAGAAAACACTGAAAGCAACTGAGGTGAATGAGGTAAATATGCCGGCACCATCAAGGTTTGTGTTGTGGCCAGCCCTGAGAATTAATTTACTCTGAAGAAACGGTAGGAGAGGCGAATCTAATCTACAGGAGCACACATGTGCGCACCCTTCCACAAGAACACGATGCAACAGTCTTCTGGGTTGTGGGATTTAGCACAAATTTTTTCTTCTGTTTAAAATCTGCATTTTCTAGATACATGTATCATTTCTAACATAGGTAAGTGCCCGCTTTTACATTTTTCATTTTGTTTGGTCTGGTTCTATTCATTTGTATTCGTTTATTTGTATTTTTTTTGAGATAGGGTTTCACTATAGTTCTCAGTCTGGTCTCAAACTTGAAATGCCCCTGCCTCAGCCTCCTGAGCACTGGGATTACAAGTGTGCACCATCACACCTGGTACTTAGTTAAGTTTTTTTGTGTGTTTGTTTAAGATTTTATTATCACTTTTTAAAATTCAGATTCATTTTATTTTGCATGTAAAAATGTTTTGCCTACAAGTATGCATGTGCATTATGTGGGTGCCTGGTGCCTGTGGAGGTCAGAGGGGGCATCACATTCCCTGGAACTGGAATTTCATATGGTTGCAAGCCACCATGTAGGTTCTGGGAACTGGAATCAGGTCCTGTGAACTCACTCACCATGGTTGGACACTTTTATTTATTTATTTATTTATTTATTTTTGTTGTTGTTTTTCAAGACAGGGTTTCTCTGTGTAGTTTTGGTGCCTGTCCTGGAGTTCGCTCTGTAGACCAGGCTGGCCTCGAACTCACAGAGATCCACCTGGCTCTGCCTCCCGAGTGCTAGGATTAAAGGCGTGCACCACCGTCCCCCCACCCCCCCACCCCCCCCCACCCCACCCCCCCGGCAGGACACTCTTATACTAGGCCTCAAGGAGGAAAAATGACCAGAGGTCAACTGGCTACGGGCCCTGAGTCAAACACAGACAGACAGCAGATGAGCTGTCAAGGGGTCCTGCCTCCTCTTGTGTACTCCCCACCACCAGGCTGCAAACGAATTAAATCAGGAATGGAACAGTATTTTCACTGACAACTAGCAGGAAGGGCGTCATCCTCCCACCTGTGCTCAGTCTGGAATTCAAGCAGTGCCCACTCTGCCTACAGGCCACCAGGAGCACTGTCTATGGGACAGCCAGCCCCACAGGTGTTCCCTGTGATTCCCTGGAGAGGCCTAGAACCCAGTGCTCCTCATCTTCCTGTAACTCAAACTGACCTGGGGCTGTCTGTCACAGAGCCCAGAGGCATGCATGCATCTTGGCTTCTCAGCCGGTGTGAAACACAGCAAAGGCAAGGCCTGAGTAAAGCATTCAGGATAAAAGAAGAGGTAGGGACCCCTCTCTTCAGCCTGCAGGCCTGATCTTTCTGGTTTGTATCCCTGCTTCTTGTCAGAACCTGAGATGCCAAGGGTTCATCATCTCCTTTACTGGGCTGCTCAGTCTGGTGTTCTTCCCTCATCCCAAGGTGAGCTGTCCACCACCTTGAGATGCTGAGCCCCTTCACCCCTGGCTTCTGCAAGGTGGGTTACACTCACGATTTCAGGGAGAAGCTTTTCTCTAGATGTGGCATAGTGTGGCTTGGATTTACAGTTCAGCCTATGAGAGGAGCCAGAGCTGTGTGCTGGGCATTCGAGGTGTAAATCAATGAGAAAGTAATGGGAAGGGACCCAGCCCCCAGCTCATCACTCATCACTCAGATAAGGCTTTGTCTGAGCCACACTGTTCCCTTGGGATCCTTATTGACTGTCTAGGATAGCCCCTGCTCAAGGGCAGAGGCTGGTCAAAGGGGGCCGAGGGTTGGTGAGGGAATCCAGATGGCCCAGACAGCACAGGGGCTGACCTCATTCCCTGTCCACTGCCCCTGGCTCTGCCTGTCGCTGGTCTTGGCTCTACTGTGCTGTGGGCAGGGCTGTGACAGATCTCCGAGTATCCTGACTTCCTGCCCTGACAGTGGACTAGAGCTGCTCACTGTAGGAGGAAACGTCCTTGTCTGGGAGTCCATCAACAGGAACTAGAAGGAAAGAGCGGGAGTGGAGGTTTGTGTGATGTGAGACTCACTCACCGGGAGAAAGAAGAGCAATACTCAGTGAACCTATAGTCCGTCATTTAGTCCCATGTCCTCCACTCCTACCTGTGACCCCTAAGCTCTCATTCATCTCTGCTGTTTTTATGCTTGAGAACGTGGGTATCACTCATTCCTTTCATCCGGCCTGGTGCTGTTGATCTCAAGAAGGATTTTTCCATCCCACTGGTGGGTACCCACAGAAGCTTAAGCCTCCTGGTTGGCTAAAAAGAAGCACCACTGGCCTGTGATCAGGCATGGCTTCAAGTCCAGGCCAGGTATGGCTTTCCAGGCTAGGATTCCATCACCCATCAGGGGAATGATAGAGCTAGCTGGCCATCTTTTTTTTTTTTTTTTGCCCACCATTAGGGAGTGTCACTTTAAAAAGCACACATTCACACTGGACCCGTTAATCTTAGGCTATTCATAGTTAATCGGGGCTTGAATTGCATTTAAGAGAGTTGAAGCACCTGTTTTTATTCTAATTATCTGATATCCTGTATAGGACCTGCATTTGTATCAGAGTTCTCTATCTTAATAGACCTTTTGTTAAATAGGACCAGATAGTCTATCTCTTAGTGTCGTGCTTTCTTCCAAAATCCAAGGGTAGGGAGGTGCTTCACCAGTGTCTTTTGGTGAAGAACAACAGAACCAGAAAGATGACTCCCACCAGATTGGTGATTAAAATCTGTTACCACGGTGTCACTTTGGGATTACAGTCTCCCTTTATCATCTGATTTCAGACAACGTGCTGTGGAGAAATTCCCACTCATTCTGAAAGCTGCTGTGAGGCAAACCCTTCACAGAAAATGTCAGGAGTCCATTCTGCTGTTTGAGGTGCCAGCCTTGCTATCATGAAGTTTAAAGTTAGCATCAACGTTTGAACTTTTGTCTTACAGGATCTGAGTCTCAGCCGGGCTCAATTAGCTGACACTGGCATGGGGCATTCGCTCCTCAGGTACGGGGAGATAGACATTCCCTAGAGGACGCTTCAGCTCCCTCAGCAGCTCTTTGGGAAGGAGTGTGCTCCACCCAGGTTCTGGCTGTTTTCCCTCTCAGTGACTGGAGGGAGCAAGACCATCCATCCATCAGTCACTAACACTGCTTGGTCCGGCTTCTGCTTTATGCTGCGTTTGGAGGACATGACAGACCTGACAGAATGTTCTAGATCTGTGTCCTGTGATCCCGGCATATTACAAGACTCTACCTTCCACCACACGTTGGTTTTTCAGCAAGTTAGTATTGGAAAAATATTTTGTAGTTATCTTACTGTTGTGAGGTGGGATCATTTCTGTTGTAATTTCAATAATTTTTCTCTTTCAGAAATGATGTTGAAGATAATTCTTCAAGATGTGAAGCATAGGCACGCTGTTTTCTGAAAGGAGTTAAAGAAATTTCCAGAAAAAGCTCCAACTGCATTTCTCAGGTCCAAATTTTATTTACTCCCTGTGTGTTTTAAACTTAGTATCTAAATTTTTTCTACTTAAATATTTATCTATCCATCCACCCACTGACCCATGCATCCATCCACCTACCCACTCACTGACCTATCCATCCACCCATCCTTCCATTCACCTACCCATTTACCCACCACCCGTCTTTCTACTCCTGGACTCTACTCAGAGAATCAGAAGGGGAGTGAGCCGATATGACATTTCCAACTCTGTTTCCACACACTTCCCTTCTGAGGCAAACCTCCTGCTGGTGATGAAGCAGTAACAGGAAGTAGATCAACCATCATTACATGAACACCATCATCTTTCCCACAGGGCAGACAATGCCAAAGCCTGACAATAGCCCCTGGTCCACACATGTCCCAGACAGGGCAGCAAGCACTCCAGTAGGACAATGCCATTCCCTGCATCCCTTCCTAGGTGATTCTCAGGCATATTTCAGTCTTATTTATTGCATTTGATCTTTCCTATTTACCCTTTTTCCTTGCTCTAAAAGCAAATAAACGTACAAAGAGAACTATATTGCAGGCAGGAAGTCATAATAAAAACACACTGGTGTCTCACAAGTATATTTTTATTGCAATGTTTTAATGTACTTCTTCGCTGTGTCTAGCTACCAAATGGTGCTACATGCTGATTGGCCTTTAACATTTCTCTTTTTTTTCCATATTTATTTTATGTATATGAGTGACCTGTCTTCATTCACACCAGAAGAGAGAATCAGATACCATTACAGATGGTTGTGAGCCACCATGTGGCTGCTGGGAATTGATCTCAGGACTTCTAGAAGAGCAGCCGATGGCTCTTAACTATTGAGCCATTTCTTCAGCCCCAGCCTTTAACATTTCTAACTCTACAATTAGCTCACAAGTTTGCATGAAGCTTAAAAGCAGACCACACAAGCATAAAAGATAGACTTTCCCCAATATCCCACCATAATCTGAATTTTAAGACACAGGTCAAACTTTTTTTGTTACATCTAACTATGCAAGTAAGAATAAACACAACACAAAGCTGAGAAACGTATGTCTGAGCTCCTGCTTTGACTATGTCTTAGGACTTGTCTAAGTAAGTGTTGATGTTTCCTGTCAGGACTTTGGCTCATTTCTACTGTGTGCTCTCTAGTGAAATGCGTTCAGCAGTCTTGGCTTGTTCTTAGCAAACCGACAAGAATCTTGTCTTGGTCAGTTTGGTTTGTGGGTTTTGAGGATCCAGGCTCAAGTGATGCTTCCATGGAGTCCCTAACACACATCTCACTGGACCATGTCTCCTCTTCTTGCCTTTTATTATTCACCCTCTTCCTAGGAATTTTAATATTATTATTCTTACTATTATTTATTTTTTGACCTTAATCTAGCTTGATTTCTGTCAACTCTAAGAAATTTCCATCATGCAGCTTGAATGTTTTTGTTATTTCTGTTTTTGCTTGTTTTTAGTTGTGGTAGTGGCCTTCCCTGGCCTTTCATCTTATTTTGTATTTGGTGTCATTTTGAAGGCAGGAGAGTGGCCAACCAACACCGCTTCTCTCTTCTACTACTATAACCTAGCAAAGCAGGCAGAGAGGGACCCAGGGTTCTGAGTAATTCTCAATCCAATGGAGGTTTAATCAGCAGCTCAGTAAGCTACAGACATTCCCATGAGCTCAACAAGCTTGATATGGAAAAGAATTACAGGGGGGAAAAAAAAAACCATGAGTCATGAGATACCAAAACCATTGTAAGATCCAAGATCCTGTCCGGTGAGGAAGCCAAGAAAATTTGGGAAGCAAAGGGTCTGACTATACATCTGTGTAAAGCCCTCCCCGCCCCCGCAGGTGACAATGAACCTGGCGTTGGAAGTCTTCTTGGAGTCGCCTTCTCAGCCTTGAGCCCATGAAGGCATATTTTAAGAAACAGCGTCCTAGTGCGCATTTACCAAGAAAGTCCAAGTAAGAAAAATGCTAAAAAGACTTCCTATCTCAAAGGCCAAGTCAATCTTACAGGTTACAGAAATAAGATACAGGGACAAGGACACCCCCGCTCCCTTGGTGACATCTCCCACAATAGCTCAGGCTAGGCTTTAAATAACATTGTCTTCCCCGCTGGGAAGTAGCACCACCTGCCCTTGTATCTCCTCTTCCTTGTCTGTTTGGAGCACAGAATCTCAGGGTTACAGAGGTCCTATAACGCCGCCAGCCACAGACATATCGCAAAAGCACACTTTCTCAGTTTCCCAGATAAACAAGTGACATTAAGACTTAAGTTAGGGGGAAGAGAAAAATAGAAATCTCTTTTCTTCATTTTGGTAATTTTTTTTTTAACAAATGTAAGGATTATTCTGGCCGAGGAGCCCAGTGAATGATCTGAATAGTGCAATTTCTGGATGGTTTTATAAACATTCATTTTAGATCTTCCGGTACAAAATTTGCCTGTTACCCATGCAAGTCTCACTGACAATGATGAAAATTTCATTAATTAAACAGGTGTAACCTGTACCCTCACATGCTGAATAATTAAAGTTCAATTCCACTGAATGCAAATTTAGCAGAGACAATGAGAACACTCGGGAGTGACTGTTATTACATTTTGTTACAATAAGTGTGGTAAAGGTGAATGTCTTTCCCCATCCAAAAATAAATACATAAATAAAAGTCCCACAGAAGAGTGAGAAATCAGCTGATAGGAAAATCTACACACTATGATTGGTGAGGGGAAAACAAACCAAGAGAGATTTGAGCAAGACAAGAACACGTTCAGTGCTGTTATCGTTTGAAATCCACTACGAGTTCGCTTTCGGAATCCTCTGAACTCACTGTGTCATCAGGTGAATGATGGCCATTCACTGTAGAACTAGCTATTCACTCTCTTCTAATTATTCCACAGAATCTTTTTAATTAATTAATTAATTAATTTTTGACTTGGTTTTTCGAGACAGGGTTTCTCCTTGTAACAGTTCTGGCTGTCTTGGAACTTACTCTGTAGACTAGGCTGGCCTCAAACTCACTGAGATTCACCTGCCTCTGCCTCCCAAGTGCTGGGATTTAAAGGCGTGCACCGCCACTGCCCAGCTTATTCTACTGAATCTAAGGGATAAAGTTCTAAAAATTAAGAATCTCCACATCTGTAAGTCCTACTCCTGATTGAGAGGAGTGACTTTACAAGTACCGTACAGAACCTCCCAGAATAACCAACCCATGGCATTAGTTGCAACTGAATGCCTTGAATTTGTGGTCAATCAAATATTTGAGAAATCAAACCAAGTTCTTTCCAAATAGCAAATCGTAGATGGATGTGTCAGACACATTTGCTATGAAACACTTGTACCCACTCTTAAATCCCTACTGACTTAAGAAATGGCTTCACCTTTTTCCCCACGGCTAAATTTAATGCTCTATTGCCAACCCAGCTTCCATCCAAATATGCAAAGGGGTGTTCAGTTTTATAAACTTCTTTTCACCTAAGAGAAGACTTGGAGTTTGTCATGATGCCAAGTCAGAGATTTTCAAACCAATATCACGCATGAGACAAGAGCAGACACGAGATGAAATTCCTTATCACGGCAGTCGCAAGACGTGAGGCGCACAGTGACCTTTGGGGCTGTGACTTCACTCCTCACTCCTAGGGTTCGGGACGACTGACTGGAGTGCCACACAGATCTGGAAAAAGAGAGTCATAATGAGTAAATCCCAGGTCACTGAGTCGTTTTTTTCTCCACAGAAGGCCCACATGGGTGGCAGTGTATTTTAAAGCAAGTGTAAGGACACAGAAAAGTAGAAAGGAACCCATACCCCGAGCCCAGCTTCCAGAATGAGTGACAGGCCAACACAACTGTTCTCACCTCATCTTCCGGTCTTTTCGGACCAAGCACCTCTGGAGGTCCCCCACAGAGGCAGGAACATTTAAGGGAGATATAAGCAGGGTGTTTCACAGTGAGAATGGGCGAGGATGCTGGCCCGGAACTCGGGAGGCACTAGCGTTTTGATTCACACTGCTTTAGCCATGTAACTTATTCGAAACGTACTAGCCTTTGAGAGTAAAGATCGTTTATGTGTTAGAATCTAAGTTTCCCCTCTCGGGTTGAGAAGTCAGATAAAATTGAAGATACTTGTCCACTTAAATGTCGGCTGGCCCATTTCTAGATACTTGCTGTCTTACACCATGAGTTCTGTTAAGATGTTTCTAAAGTGTTGTGATTGGATATTAGCACAGAGTGATTAATATAGAACACATTTCTGTTTCCACTTAGGCCCTTACATCTCCAGGGCACCAGTGTAGCCATTCACTTACAAACCACAGCCCCATGTCCTCTACCTTGTATGGATACAGTTGTATTTTGAGTCCCAGTCTATATCATATTATATCATGGTTTTAGTTATTTTGATTTCAAGATATCAAAGTAACCCTCAGGAGGTGCCGGTGTTTTAGGCCACAGAAGACGCCACTGGAAAAACCTAGCAAAGTTACTTTTCTTTTTTCTTTTGTCTATGAAAAAAGACATGTGAGGAATAAACCTGCCCCCCACCCCCCGCCTTATACCATGAGCAGACTGTGCTCAGTGACCTTCCTTCCTCCCAACTCAACTCAGTGGCACCCACAGATCCAGACAGCGCCCTCCCTCACTGAGATCTCCCCCACTCATTGGTGACACCAGTGTTTATGAGAGTCTCCCTGCTGTGGCACTTCATAATTCAAACATGGCCGCCCTGTGACATGGACAGGTCTTCTCCATCATTCCCCATTTATGTCTGTCACCTCATGGGCGAATGACTGAGCCTTGACACACTGAAGAGTCAGACTGTGTCCTCATCTGCTCTGCTCCAGAGAAAGGGAGACGATCTAGACATAGCAGGAAAGAGCAGAACTGTTTACGGTGTGTACGTTAGATAAGGACAGTAAGATTCCAGCCAATCTCTCGTTCTGGAAACATCTATTTTCTAAATAATTACGTCTCTCCCTGTGAGCGACAGACGGGCGTTTCCTAGTTCTCAGGATGGCGTCTTGCATGTGGTGTACTCCCCCACCCCCACATACACACGTACATATAGGACACAGTCCTGAGACATGGTTTGCATTGCTGAGAGAAGAAAGGCCACAGCAAAGCTGCTGTCTACCACAAGACATGCTGAATCTCTGAAATACAGCTGGTGCCCTGCTCTGGTGGAAAGGACACTGCACTGTGCTGTAGATGACACCTTAGGGCACCAGGAATTTTTCTATGATGTGAAAGCGTCACCTTTCTTCGTGGGTATCTGAAGCCATCACATGTGCTGAATCACAGCACCTCTTTGTTACTCTTGCATTCACGAGAGTTGATTTGCAAATTTGTTCTTCTTGAGACAGAGCTCATGTAGTCCAGGTTAGCTCTGTGGTGTGGTGTGGTGTGTGTGTATGTATGTGTGTGTGTGTACATGTGACACAATCCCTGTGTGTATGTTGGAAGTCAGGCAATTATACATTAACTAATAACTGCTCCATGAGTATACATTACTTACAAGATGCTATCTTGAGAATGGGGGTAATACTCACCTACTGCTTTTAGGGAGACAAGTAATTATTTAGTGCATAGATACCTCTAGAACTAGAGATTTGGCTGGTGGCTTGGCATTTGTATCACTGGACGTTGTTTGAACTGTTTCTGGCAATAATTTATGTCAGTCTGAAAAAGCAGTCTACCTTGCTCTCACAGTGCTTCAGTTGCAGGGCCAAGGGTGCTCAATCTCTGTTAAACACTAAGTTGTCACAGTTTTTGGCTTGGGTATAAGCTGCTGTATCTATCCATCACAAGCTTCATGAAGAAGCCCAGCCTGAAAGAGCTCTATCCACCACGCTGCCGCCGGAGCAGAGCAGTCGCCTCCAACTCTGCACAGCCCAGCTGCTGGCAGGGAAGGGTTGAAAAGCAATCAAATGCAGTCGTCTGGTGTTCTCTTTCACATTAGCAGCCCTACATGTCTCTTAGGTTTATCGCCACACTTATATTTTCATTTTTATTTCCAATTACACCTATATAGAAAATGAAGAGAGGTTGCTAACATTACTGACTGTGTCAAATCGCTGAACCTGGGAGCAGTCTTCCCCCCCAGACTCTTAATTCAGGGGCAGGGACTCCCAGAGACAGTGGCTGACACCCTCTTAGGTCTTTCTGGAATGCCTAGGTGTTCACGTAGTCATTTCTGGTGTCCATCATAGGTGACAATGGCTGATTCAGCTATTTACAAGGAAAATTAGCAAAAAGATTTCAAACCCTGCTCATCATATGTATACTAAAAGCTAACATACACCTAACACAACCAAACTGATTGAAAAACCTCAGCAAGCCTTTCTTTGGGAAGTATGACCATGAACTTGTGTGAATGTCACAATTCTGTGATTACAGAACAATATAAAACATCTCAGGCTACCAAACAATCCTCTCTCTATCATTTTACTGCATTTTTCTACAGGCTCCCACTGGAATGGAATTTTAAATAGAAAGCAACCTTATTGTCTGCTCAGAGTGAGAAAACTTAAACTGTCTTGTTAGTGAGTATGTGGCCCTCTTATCTAGAAACTTCTAATGACACCAACGCATAGCTACAAGCACACAGTAATATTCCTTTAATATTATTCCTGAGCACCACATTTGATATATTGGTGACATGTACATACTCTTTATGAATACCTGCTGAATTTAACCTCAAGTTTTTGCTTACTGGGCACTATACTGGGTTAAACCATTGTCTTCATATAAACTCATTCATTTTCTTCCTAAGGACATCTGAGAAGCTCTGCTCGACAGACCCACTCTGTTCTTATCTCTATATAAACGTGTCAAAATGAGAGCAGACTGAGGAGGGGCTAGCCGTCATAGGCTTCACCTTGGTATACAGTAGATAACGTTCTGCTCATTTTTTTTTCTAGTTTCTAAGTGGGCATACATATGTCTGAAATATGTAGCAAGTATTATTTAAACATGTTGAGACAGAAAAAAAAAACTTTTTAAGATGTAGATACACAGGGGAACGAACCTGGAAAAAATATCCAACATATCCCCCAACCCAGACAAGCAAAAACATTTAATGCTTTTTCTTTCAAAATAAAAACCCCAATTCTGTTGTTAGAACAAATACTTAAGCTATAAAATATACCTAAGCACATCCCTTCCTGGGCCAGGATAGAAAAACCAAACATCTATGACTTTAAAATTAAAGTCAATGGCTTTGGGGTCACTCAGTTCTTAACAACTAAAGTCTGAATTCTTTGAAAAACCAGAGGAGGAAAGTCAGCAGGGAAGGCTCCTGCCTGGGTTTCGGTAGCTCTGGTTTTTTGGCACAGGGGTCCTGTCCCTAGAAGCCTGGGTCGGAGCTGAGCGGGGCTGGCAGAGAGGCAGCCTGCCTAGGCTGCAGATGAGCTGTGCAAGGAGGAGTGAGAGCAGCGGGTGAGCAGCGAGGCTGGAGCACATGTTACATCAGACACAGTACCTGATTTTTCACTGCACAGCATGTCAGCTAGATGGTGTGCCTCCTGGGCGATAAGTGCGAATATCTCATCCTCATACTTTTCAATGATGGCTTCGCACTGCAGAAACACAATAGCAACACGTGTGAGCAGAGGCACATGGGCAGGGAGGGCCCCTTAGTAGCACAGACTTAGCGACATTTTAGTAGCAGAACACAGGAAAGCATGTAACCAAGGAAGTCCATTTTCCTTGGCACCTTTGGTTTGATACATCATTGCACAAGAGTAACCCTCCTCCAGAAAGGCTAATTGTATCATTTTCCTGAGACTTAACTAAATGATTACCGTGTTGGAAGACCTCAGAGGAGGAAGAGGAGGAGGAGAAGGAAGAAGGAAGAAGGAAGGAAAATGGCTGGCTATGTTTCTTTCTATTCCTGAAGTCTGGAGTGCAGTAGACAAGAAGCAACCAAGAGCTTTCCTTTCCCACTTCCTTCAACATTTTAAAGACCACATCTGGCAATGGTTAAGCCAGCTTCCTTACAATTTAACAGAATAATACACTTTGTGGTTTGAAAATTGGAAACAACTGAGGCTCCTCAGCCATCACAACAATGGCACCTGCCAGCTTAGCTGCAGAGCACTTGCAGTCACTTGGGAAGTTTCTCTATCGACCCTTTAGGAACCTAGCTCAAATCCTGGGTCTGCTCTCCAAAGCAAATAAAAAATAAAAATAAAACAAGCTGACACTTCAGTCAGGAGGAAGCACACATTTGCCATGGGATCTGAAAGTGTTAAATTCTGCCTGGAGTGTCTCTCCCATCAAGAACTACCAGGCTACCTTTTTTTTTGGAACTGTGAGTTACTGATGGCCATTCACTGGAGACTTGTAAACCATCTCTGAGTTCATTAAACAAGACTCTAAGAATTTTAAATGGCATTTAAAAATATTTAAATTCCACTATAATGTGTTTATTTAAAACCTGTGAAAGACAAACACACTCACATCACCATCCAAGTTCCATGGGGCTTTTAGCCCTGAATTATTGCCCTCACTTTTTAATTAAAATGAAATCTCCAAATGTCAGCTCCAGCCCCATGTTGGGGCTGCAGCACGCCTGACATTTTGGCCACTGTGTGAACTTAATGCATTTTTTAAACAGGCCTGCCCATCACTGTGTGATTCCACAGCATTAAGTAAGGGGAAATATGTTGCAATGTCTTTTGCCAGGCACACCCTAGTAAGCCAGAGGCCAACTCTTCGGTAAAATCAACTTTATACTGAAGGAAATGTGGGATTGTGCTCTTGACCCCAAGCATTGGTGTAGCCTAGCCTGAGCTACAAAACTTGAATTCACTGAAGGAAAACACTCCTTGAGAAGCCTGTGGGGGTTGGAGAGAGGATCTTGGGGTTACCATTCCAACATTTAGCTATAAATATTTGAAAACGACTCTTGGCCTCCGTTCAGATTTCAGCCTAGAAACCACAAACCCTGCACTTCCTTAGGTGGAAACCCAGTCCCTTAGAAATAAGACAGGCTGAAGTCACCCCACACCAGCAGAATGTCCTGATAAACAATGTGCACCAGGACAGGGCACCTCCATAAAACTCCCTTCAATCTCCAAACTAATCAGTGGAGGAGGCCACGATCCTTGAGATGTGTCACAAGCCAAGTCACTAAGTGTTCAGTTAAGACTTAAGCAGTGGGCAGCACAGGACACTAGGGCATGTGAATGTGCCTGACTGTCCACTGCTCATCAACAGCTCAAGAGTAGTCACAAGCAGAAAAAAGGAGATCCCAGCAGGCTCTTAGAAAGGGAGGCTTACCGCGAATTTCAAAGGTTTGAAGGCATCAGAATAAAAGAAGAACTTTTTATATTCTTTGTATATTTTGTCTCCCTTTCTTGGAGCGTATCTCCTAAAATACTTCTGCTTGGTCACTGGGTCGTCCTCCAGCTGGTAATCGTTCATTCGCATACACACTTTATCCAAAAGGTCGACGAGGAACGCCTCGGACTGGGCCAGGGGAACCTACAAGAAGAACAGAACCAGCCAGGACACTTGCCTACGCACACGCGAGTCCAGAGGATACGTGGAAGGACGGCTTCTCAACGGAAGCAGCTGCACCGTTCTTTATGTAGTTTAGCGCGAGCTTAAATTCTAGCGAGAAAACAACATGCTTGACAGTGGACAGTAAGAAACTGAATAATCTAGAAACTGTACTTATAGATGTCATTTAAAAAAGTTGTTGAGTAGAGGCTGAAGCACAGAAAATGGGAGGAAAATGGGGGCGTCGAGAGCGCATCAGTTCTGTGCGGAAGCCACGCTTCTGCCCATCCCAAGTCTCGCTGCCCCCTCGCCTTCCAGGCATCTCGCAGCGGCTGTGCCGGGTCTATGCCGTGGTAGTCGTAGATAGCGGGACCCGGGGCGCCCCTCACAGGCCTCGGTTTGCTCTGGGAACAGCTGGCGCGCGTCCCGGGCGCCCCTCTCCCTCCGGGACCTGCCGGGGCGCGCCGGGCTCCGTGCCACCACCTCCGCCCCGGGCGCGGGTCAAAGAGCACCCCGCGTCCTTGGAAACCAAGACAAAACCTCGTGCGGCGTCTAGACGGGTCAAGGTGCAGGAGGCCTGGTCCCCGCGGCTCCTTCCGGAAGGGGCGTGGAGCCGCCAAGGGCGCCCGGCCGGGCCCGCGGCTTTGCGCTCTTTCTCGCTCTCCACCCTCTGCTGATCAAAGAAGGAAGTTTGCATGACAACCGCGCTGAAAGGGGCTGCATGACAAATGAACTCGGTTTCTGCAATGTTGATATATCCAGCCCCCTTTGTCCCCTTTCACACGCAGTGTGAACCCTTCCGGTGCCAAGGACTGCGCGACATTCACAGGCGCGCTCAGGGCGCACAAAGGGTCCCGGCGCTTCCCCGCCATCTGGCCGCAAAGCCGATTCGCAATTAACATGAAAGCGCGGACGGCGTGGCCCGCGAACAACACCCCCAGGTCGCCGCTGCCCCCAGCGTCCACCAGGAACCGACCCTGGGAGTGCGCTTTACGCGGAGCGCAGGAACCGCGCGCTACGAGCGCGCACGGTCACAACCCCGCACCTGCTGCGGCCCAGGTGAACCTCAGGCCGCCAGGAACTCTCAAGGTTCTGACTTCTCAAGAGCAATTAACTAAATACGTCTGCGAACTAAAGTGAGCACACTCTGCAGCAGGTGTCAGGTTCTTTCCTCCAAATTCACCAAATTTATATATACATATATATTATATTATATATAAATGTATATACAGTGAAAAAATGAAAATTCTTTAAGGGCACTTTCAATCACAACTGGCATTTTATTTATGCTTTTCAAACTTTGTAAGTTGCAAAAAGGGAAATCACAGGTTTATTCACTCATCTGAAAACCGAGTAACTGATGGACACTTCGGTAAACTTGGCGTGGCGGGGGGGGGGGGGGGGGGGGGGGGGGGGGGTGGGTGCTGGGGGGGGGCGGCACTGGGAAAGGCTAGGGATCGCAAAGGCAAATTCTTACGTTAATGACTCAAAGCGGGCCTTTAACATGACGATGGCCGGTGCTTTCAGGGGTACCAGTGTGCTGAGCGGCTTTCCTTAACTGATACACATAAATGGCAGTTTCTGGTTGTCCACAAAGGATTTCAAGTCACAGCGAAGGATGGGATCGTTTATTTTTAAAAAAAAAAACAAAAAACAAAAAAACAAAAAACTAATAGCAACCAGGAAATTCACTTTCTCCTTCCCTCCCCCATCAGAAAAGCAAACAGACTATGCGTGGGGGTGGGGCAGGGCCTGGGGTAGGAGGGCCCAGGGTGCTGAAGAGGGCCCTGGGAAACGCAGTCCTGTTACCAGGCCAAGACCCTCCTCACACACTAAGCGTTTCTAGTCGCTTCCCTAGAAACTCTTCTGTTTTTCTTCCCCTTTCAAATTGACCTAGTACTCTGAGCTGTATGCAGAAGATTGCTCAGCCCTGTAAGTCTGGGACAAAACCATGAAAGCCTTCTTTCTACACGTTACTTTTGAGAGGTTCTACTTTTGCATATTTTTCCTGGGTTGCACTTTTTGAAAGCAGCTCCTCCACTTTAAAACCATCAGTGGGCTTAACAGTGAGTTGTTTTTAAAGTATAACCTTACACCTTTGGATATGGAGGCAGCGTGCCCCACTTTCACACAAATAGGTTGGTGTGTGTGTGTGTGTGTGTGTGTGTGTGTGTGTGTGTGTGTGTGAATTTCTACTGATTTTTGTTGTTGTTGTTGTTTAAAGTCTGAAGATTGACAGCTTTTGAATGGCGTTAGCTAGCTGGCCCTTTGCAGGAGTCTTTAAAACCAGACGCAATTGCTGGCTGAAGGCTTACACGATACTATAAGCTCCTCCGGAAATTCAGGCAAGAGAGCCCTCCCAACATGAGGGTGCTGAGGTCATTTTACGGAAGAGTCTTCAAAATTTGATCTTAAAATCCCTGAGCACCGGATATTGGAAAAATATTTTTAAAAGATGTTTCTCACCACAGTTCTTTATACATGTATTAAAATCTACATTAATATGATTCCACTCAGCTGAACCACCTTTAGTAAATTTAAAGACTGTTCACAGAATAATTGATCTCACCCCCAAATTGTTCCAATTCTAAGAATGCATTAGTACTGAGACAAGTGGAATAAGAACCAAGTCTTTCTTTGTACACAGTGAAGGTTTTGAATGGAACTTGTCAATAAAGCGACTCCCTTTGTGATCTTCCAGGAACCTCGCCTCCGCCATGCAAGGACTGTCTCAGAGATACTGGCCTCATTAAAATATGAATGGAAAGGGCCCTGTTGCCACCACTGTGTCAGTGGAGAACCCGGTCAGGCTTCTCCAGCAGTTCTCTCACTGTTTTATGCGGACTCCTATAGCATGTTAGAAATGTAAAAGTGATCCAGTATCCTTTCCTCTCTATCCTTGGGAACCTCAATCAAAGTAAACCTGACATCTCCCAGTTTTGCAGCCCTCCTTCACCTCTAAATCACATGTGGCACATGCAGTATCCAACCCCCACCCCACCACCTTAGGCGTCTCCTAGCCACTGGCTTGTGAAGCGGGCAGGGGAAAGGGCTTGAGAGGTACCAGACCACAACTTGGAAAAGTAGCCTAAAGTTCTGGCTGGGGTTTCTCCAGGAGTCTGCAGCGAGGGAGTTCGTTACAGACTACTATGACTACACTTTAATAACAGCCAATTACAGCATGCTCCATGTTTTTTCATTACTGTGTCTCTGTTAATCTTGTAGCAAATTTCTTGCTTGATAGCTATCACAACCAGGCAGGAATACAATTATGTCACAGCACAATGGACGTGGAGACGTTCGTTGTGATGCGTCCCCTCTCTGCCATCACAGCCTGACAGTTGCCAATAAACTTCATTCATCTTCGTGGCTGTTTTGTAGTTTTCCTTCAGACATGAAGGTGCACTTAACCTGCTTAGTGGCTGATAATTTCTTGTTGTTGCAAAGATTTTCCTTTCCTGAGGGTTGGTTAATGTAGCAATTCTAAGTGCTTTATAGCAAACATGGATCCTGTTTAACTGCCAACTTTCCTTCTTTAAAGAATGGACTGACCACTGATACTAGCTAAAAGTCAATATTTAGATGCAAAAAGTTACCACTCCTCACCTTAGGCTTGGATTCGGAAACTCTTGTAGGCTGATGAGACATATAATTAGCTTGTATGTTAATTGTATGACACTCCTTCATATAATAGGCAAATTGGTTGGCTGTTTGGTTTTATGAGACAATATGATTACAAATCTGTAGGAATTCATTTTGATAAGAAATAATAAAAGTTGATGGATTTCCAGTTTATATATATATATATATATAAATATATATATATATATATATGGGGGGGATCACATCCAAACTCAACTAATAAGAGAGATTTTTTTCTGGTAGCCTGTATTTAAAGAGCAGCTGGAACATCACAAATTCTCAACACTGGTGTTTCAAGATTTCACAAACTTCCCTGTCTGTACAGGTAGGCCTGTGGGCTGCACAGGCCCTGCAACCACTATAGTGTCCTCGCCTTCAAGAAATGTATTCCTTACCATCTGAATGATGGAAACAAATCATTCTGATTTGAAAGGCTATTTTTGCAAGTTTTTCTGTCCTTACCATTAGCATACGAGGGTACCGATCAGTAGCATGTATTCTCAAGGAGTTGAAAATTCGTAGCAAAATGAGAACCCTGTGATTTAGGGGAATTCCCCCCCCGCCAGACTCCAATCACATTTTTTATTCTGGAGGTTATCTTCAACTTCACAGTGACAGAAGAGAATAAAAAAGAATCATACCGTGGGTCAGGATTAATGATCACTGAATTTGGGAGGGGGGGGTCATGTAACTCAACTTCTAAAGTTAAAAAAAAAAGTATCTTTCTCTCATTATTAAATATTAAATCTCCACTGCTATTAGGTTTCTCATTAAAAAATACTCTGCAAGTTTTTTTTAAACCTATTAAATTTTGAATGTATTAGGTAAAATCAAAAGCACAGCAACCCATAAAAAATCGGCCATTTTCAAACTTCTGTGAAGTCCTGTAAGCAAAGTCTCAGGCACAGTATCACCAAGCACCTAGATTTGTTCTGTACTTAGCATGGTGCTGGGATTCTGCTGCTTCAAAATTCCCCAGTAGGAGAAAGCCAGAGTGCCACCAATGTGGCTACAGACCAGAGCAGGACAAGATTCTGTTTATTTAAGGCTGAGGAAAGCTCGGGGCCGGCCTGATCTACACAGTAAGTTTCTGGGTAGCCTGGACTACAGTGCTCTGTCTCAAAAGATCAAAATTTAAATAAGAATAAAAATAATTTGTTTATTCATTCACCAAATAATTACTGAGCCTTATCTACACTGCAGACAAATGCATTTGTCAAATACAAACTTTAAAAAAAATATTGTTTTTTATTTTATGTGTATGGGTATATACATGTCTGTGTACC